CTTCTGACAATGACCAATGCCGGGTGCCCCAGAAAGAATGAACACAACAGGTAATCATAAATGGATCCCTCCCGTCACCCAGTTCCAGCTTCTGACAAACAAAGGCTAGACACACCATTCCTGCCATCCTAACTAATAGCCATTGCTGGACCTATCTTCCATGAATTTATGTAGCTCTTTTTTGAACTCTGTTGAAGTCCTGGCTTTCACAACATCCTTTAGCAAGCAGTTCCACAGGTTGACTGTGTGTTGTATGAAGAACAAAGAACGTAGTTCAAACTCAAGTCATGGGAGTCTACTCTGGGATGCATTAACTCTGAAAAGGACTTGGGATCAAGGTTTCCTGACAGCTAAGCGCCCATGTGGGCGCACAGTCCTTTTCTAAGCCCTGCACAGATGTTCAGAGCTCCCCACAAGACAGGGAACTCAGCTGATTGGCTGAGGAAGGGGGGGACAGAGCAGTTGCCCTGCGCCCCCCAGCCATAAATGGAGAAACTCGCTCCAACCTCTACTCAAGCACTGGGCAAAAGATGATCTGTAGGCCGGATCTGCCCGCAAGTGCCTCAGCTAGCTCCCTGCCTGCCCTGCACCTACTTGGCACTCTGGAAAGATGGGTGCAAGGCCATATGTGTGTTTTGGAATGCTGAGAGCCTGGAGGGATGGGAGACAAACTTCTCATGCTGGCCCCACCCCCAGTAGCTCCCATTGGCCATTTTTGACCAATAGCAGATGACTGTTTGCAGGACAGACAGCATGTGAAGTGTCCCTCCTCCCTCAGGCTCACAACATTCAGTTTAGAGCAGCATTTCCCAAACTATGGGCCACGGCCCGGTGAAAAAAATATCAGGCCTCAGTGTGGCTGCCGGGGTGTTCCGGGCTCCCAGAGTGCCTGTGGCGCTGGGTCCCCCAAGCCCTCGGCTGGGCTGGACAGAGTCTGCAGTCGGATGTTCTGGGCTCCCGGCAGAGGCATAGCTAGGGTTACCAGGTGAGTTTAAAAAAAAAAAAAACAGATGGAGGACGGGCTGGGAGGCGGGCGCGGCTGGCCGGGAAGCATGGGGAGGGAGGGTGGACAGTGGGAAGCAGGGCTGGGGTGGGGGGCTGGCCAGGGAAGATTGGGTGGGGGAACCGGCCGGCGGGAAGCAGGGCTGGCAGG